ACATAAACACTTCGCGATCAAGGAGATGACAGAGTAGTTTATTTCCATAGTTACCATAGTGACCACGGTAACTACGGACGAGCTGCTGAGATCCACAGGTGAGACGGGAGAATCTAGACAAGACACATTTTAAGTCTGGCATTCCTCTACTCAACTCTTTGGAAGAGTAGTAAAAAGAAAGAAAGTCATAAAAAGTCCCATATGCAACTTCTTATGACTGTGGTACCATTTGCCACAAGCCATGTGGGGAACAAAGTGCAGATGCACTTGTCAGAAAAGTCCAAAGTTGAATTTTTTTGGCCTACATGTAAAATGTATTTGAAAGGCAATACTCACTCACTGTACATACCATCTCCATGGTGACACATGGTGATGGCTGCTGTAGGGATCATGTTGTTCCTTAGGGACCAGGAAGTTGATTCAAAGGTGAAGGAATAATGGCCAAAAGTTGAGACTGTTGTTGTGCAATGCTGACAGGGACACAGGCTAAAAGACAAGTTGTTGTAATTGCAAGTAAATGCTTTTGAACCTTGTACTGAGTGAGAGAGTCTGAATACAAATGCTTACCATACATTTCAGTTTACTTTTTGTAAAGCATGTTGAAAGTATTCTGTCATGTTGTCATTGTGTCATCAATTACTCTGTGTTGGTCTGACATAACTGTGATAAAATGCCATTAAAATCAGTTTTAGTTTGAGGCTGTCGTGAGGTTGTGGCAAAATTTAAACTTCAAGTTTAAGGGCTATAAGGCCTTTGCAGTGCACTGGGTAGCTGTGACTACCCACAACATTATCAATTCCATTTTTGGGAGAAGACTTTAGGAACATTAAGATGTGCAAAGCCAAGATATGTTCTATTTTTAAAATTCTGGTAGTTCAAGAATGTTTTGCATTGGCATAGACTTTGACTGGACATCCCCACATAACAGCAGCAGCAAAATGACTCAATTCCTAGCATGCATGTGAGTTCTAAGGTCAACATAATATTAAAATCAACATCTCTGACAATAGCATCAAAGGCTGCATGAGTGTACTTAAGAACTGTCTGGGATTGCATGAAGAGTATAGCAGCCTTCCTTGTCATTGAACTAAGTCAGTGGTTTCTGAAAGCTTTTAGAACAAACTAGATGAGTAAGTACTAAAACATTCATGTTCCTCCATATTGGCCAGTAGTTTCAAACAATAATGCAGCTGGTTTCTTCATGAAGACAAAAAAAAAAAAGGGAAAATACTCTTCCTATCCATTAGGAACACAGTAATTGGTATATCCCACTGGGTTTATGGAAAATGATTGGGGTTTGGTGTAACTTCCAAATCCACTTTACAACTTCACTTCAAGCATGTACCAGAGCTGTTCCTGGTCCACTGTTGTCCACTTCACATTATTCTGGAAGTTTCTGATTTTTTTTTTTTTTTTTTACAAATGTTCTTGAGCACATTTTATAATATAAATGGTTCACTTATTCATGGTGGGCTATGTTTACATTAGAAAATGTTTACTTGCTCCTAAATAGGGTATTAATAACTGCCTGTGCTGAGAATAGATCTTTGTATTGCTGAGGTGGGCGAATAATAGAGGACAGAGTAGCAAGATTAAGTTCGGTTGACATTGTCAGTCAAACTGATAAAGTGGTATATTGAATTTCTGTTTTGGATGACAAGTTCACCACTGCTGTTTGTCATTTATCAGGATTGTCATTCATAACTCCCAAGTTATTTACCTAATCATTTGTCAAAACCCAGCCAAACTATCTAAAGGCTGCTGCACAGACAGAGGTCCAAGATATCTTGATACCTTCATTAGCTGGTGTCCGTGCCAGATAGTGAAAATCTATTTCCAAATGTGTCTCGGTGTAAGTAATATGCCTGCACACTGCCATGAGTGACACGGGTCTCTCTTCGGCAGCGCCGTGACCCGTTTTAAAGATCAACGCCGTCCCGTGAGCGTGTACGCAGCAGTTGTCCTCACACTGAATGTTATTACAGAGAGAAGGAAGGTCAGACTGCTGCCTTGATGATACATGGGAAGTGCTTTCAGATTAAAGAAAAAAAAAAAAGTCTTCCCTTTTTTTCTGCCGTGTCGCATATTGACCTTGGCATTTTTGACAATAGCATCCATCACACGAGTAAAACCGTTCCAACAGGCAACGCTGGTCCTCCGAGCAGCCAAGTGAATCAGATTAAGGAATAACACCAGTAGATGGATGCTTGACGTCAAAGAAACAGAGGGATCAGTCTTCCCATTCCGTATGCATTCCACTTCCTCTGCTAACCCCCCACATACCCACAGCCTGGCTGGATTATGTTTCTCCAATTTTGACACTAATGATTAACGGCTGTGAGATTACAGCGTTTTTTTTTTTTTTAATCGATCCGCCAGCACCGAAGGGGTGATTAATATAGACGAGCATTGAGAGGTTGTCAATTTAATCATCTGTTGACCACATGGTCAATCAGTTTAGAAAATGATGGTGCTTTGTCTCCATGATGACAATTACTCATGTAATTTCAGCACGATTTGTACTCTTGGGGATTATTTTTTGTTCACTGTAATTTTAAAAAATATAACTAAATATAATACATATAATAAATATGTATTTAAATATTTCTCATGCATCAGTATGGGCTTGCAGACATATTTATAGCTATTAATACTAATTAAATACACATTCACCCCTTTGATATTACTGCGGATGATTTTGCAAGAAATTTCTATATCTAAAAAAATCCTAACAGAAGCAATATCAAGATAAAAAAAATATTATTTATTAAATAAAGCCACTTAGCTTGAAGTTGAAAATACATATAAGTTTTAATATAAGTACTATAAAATTTGTTCAATTAAATAAAAAAAAGGTGTTAGAATAAATATATGTTTTATTTTTAAAAATCAGCAGGGAATAATTCAAGCTTCATGGAAAAATACAGGGCTTAAGAAAAGCTAACTCTCCCTCGTCTAATGTAGAAAAATGTTAACATTTACAAGTTGCATGAATTTTTTATTTATTATTTTTATTTTTTTTTTAATAAGCTGATTAAATTGTTTAAATAAACCTAACAGACTGTAGCTGTACGATCTCCTCGACTGCTGGGATTTCCTGGCTTTTGTGGTGAAGTACAGCAGCACAAAAGCCAAAGCTTTATACAGAGCCAACATGGAAAAAGACATTAACTCTGCACGCGTGGATGTGTGTGTGTGTGCATGTTTCAGAGAAGGGCTGCACTGCAGCACTCAGCTGGGAGCATCCAGTCACTGACCCCTGTCTTCCCAACTGTGTGGAGAAAACTCTTCAGCGTGCATATATGTGTGTGTGCGCGTGTGCCTGCGTGAGTATGAAAGAGGAAGAGGAGTGTATGTCTGCAGGACAGAAAGTCAGTGAGACAGAAGTACAGCACAAAGAACAGAGGAGCATTGTGCACCTCAGGCCCTCTCGTCCACATGCTGTCTGTACACAGCCCGAGGAGAAGTCCTGAACCGCACCGGCCTTTGCTCTTTGCACTGACACCGACTCACGCAGGGCAACATGGCGGGCCTCGCAGTGTTTTTTCTGGCCTGACCGGGTTCCTCGGACTCCTGAAACCGTAAATACTCAAACTGTCGGTTTTCGTGGAGCTGTTTCTAATTTAACCATTTTCCTTTTTAAATTCGGTAGTGCGTTTTATTCAAAACTGAATTCTGTAAATATTGCCTGTGTGCCTAAGCTTCAAAATGTATGATTAAAAGAATAAAAAGTGCAATGTGTGAAATGTAAATAAAAAAGTATGTATAAATTGCAATTTTCACAAAAAAAAAACTCCAGTAAATACAATCACTTTTAAAAAAAAAGTCCAGCAGCTGACAATTTTGATTGAATAAAAATCTGAATATAAAAATGTAAATGACAATGAAATTTACAAAATACCTAATAATAGTAAAACAAAATTTTGCACAATCAACAATCCACAAAAACATAACAGAAAAGTAGCATTTGCAAAGCCATTTCTTTCCCATCTGCTGCTGCAACCAAATTTGAAAATAAAAGCCTCTCTGATTTTCTCCTTTATTGGTCTCAGGGTGTTTTCTACAATCAAGTTTTACTGTGTGCCAGCAGGACCCTGTGTCCACGGGGACACTCTGGAGAAAGAGGTGAGCACCAAGTGCTGTGTTTCCCCACTCATGCTATCACCACCACACTGTCATGGCTTTCTGTCCCACGTTACTTTGCGTCCGGCCTCCCCAGATGCTACAAAACAACAGGATGGCACCGCAACAGCTGCATGATCTGCAGCTCTGTCCACTTAAAGCTCGTTTCAAACAATTCACCGAAGCTTTTATCCATGCTGATATGACTACAACGAAAGAAAAAGACCTGACCTTTTTAGCGACTTACAAACTACCCTAAAATGAAGACAATACTTTCATTGTTTCCTCTTTTTGAAGAGTGGGGATACTGGGTGCAATGCACCGAGCAACATCAAACATGGAACAGGAGCACCCTCTACTTATCGAAAGTCAAAATGCAGGATTTCGCCTTGCTCCCAAAAATCCTTCCTGTTCCGACGGCTGCAACTGTCCGAGAGCCAAGCCGCGTTCCCGCTCTCCACAATTTTAACAGAAACCATGAGAAAGGAAACAGCTTTAAAGGCTTCATCAACTGTGACCAACCGCCGTCAGCAGTAACCCGTGTTATACAGGCCGCAGTTATGACACCCTCAAAGGGCTGCCCCTGGGGAGGCGGGCGACAGGGAGGGGTTACAAGCGGGGAACAGGGCCTCAGAAGTTTCCCACCTTCCCTTGAACCACAGCCGCACACCCTCGGCAGGAGGCGGACAGGGCCAGCTTTGAAAAATAACACCTTTGTGATCCCCTGTCTTTGGGGATGGACCGTGGCCTGCAGATGGCTCTGGATACTCTCTGTGTGGACGGATGAAAAGGAGAGAAAAGAGCAGGATGAGGAGGAAAAGCCAAACTGAAAACTCTTAACATTAGAATCTTTTTTTTTTATTATTATTATTGTTCAGGTTTTTTTTTGTTTTGTTTTGTTTTGTTTTCAGGGATTTGCATTCAAAACCATACTAATTATTTGCATCTACCTAAGTAATTTTGATTGACCTTTGCACATAGACGCAAAAAAATCTGTCAACACAAGGTGGACATAATGGCAGCCTAATAGCTGCATAAGTAGCTTGAAAATGTATTGATGCCCTTTAAAGATTTTCATACTTTGTCATGTCTATTAAAAAACAAAACAAAGTCATAGACAATTATTAAGCCTGAGAAAAATGATGCATGGTTTGAGCTTTTTATTTTTACAGATAAAGATCATAAAAGTAATGCATAATTTTTTCAGCCCCCTTTACTAAGGCAGAGAGTCTAGTCTAGCAAATACTAGACTCTCTTTGCCATTTGAGAGTCTAGGAATATTTTTCTCTTATTCAATATTGTAAGAAAACAATTCTGTATAAACCACAAAATGGAGACCAAGGTCTACAGCAGATATGTAATTAATAAAATTGTGGAGCGGTTTAAAGAGGTGTTACATTATAAAATCATAAGCTTTCAATATTTTCCAGAGTGCCTGTTAATTCATCATCTCAAAGTGAAAAGAGTATGATAAAACTCCAAACTTACCAAGACGTGTACACCAACTAAAACTGACCGACTGGATTGGGCAAGGCAAACATTCATAAGAGAAGCAGGCAACATATCCACAGAAACTCAGGAAGAATTTAAGAGACCCACTGCTCAGATGAAGGAATCTGTTGACAGGACAACAATTATAAGTAATTATTCTAAAAGAAACTGCCCAGGTAAGAGACACAGCAGACATGTGGAAGAAGGTGAATTGGTTGAATGAAATGTAAACGTTTTTTTTTTTTTTTTAACAAAAAAGCATCTGCTGTAGGGAGTATTCTTCCTCAAAGACAGAAGCTGGTCAGGTTTTATGTGAAGGTGGATAAAACTTAAGACTTAAGACTGTGGTGAAGGTTCACCTTCCAGTTTGGCAACAACCTCCAAGCTCCATTGTAATGATTTAGATCCGAAAATATTCATGTGTTGACTTGTTTTGCAATTGGGCATGCAAAACATGTCTCTAGATGTGCACAGCTGGTGGAAACATCTCCCAAAAGACTGATATTGAAATGAAAAGTATGGTATTGAGGGACTAAATACACTTCTTAGATTATTTGTAAAAAATAAAAATAAAAAAAAACCTCCAAAAATCTTAAGAATTACTATCGTCTGACAACCATGTGTCAGTTTTCTCCCTGTTAATTATGCCTCTGTCTTGGCCTATTACATGAGATCTCAACAAAATGCCTCATAGTTTCTGGTTTTAATTTTACAAAATGTGACAAGTTCAATAAGTATGAATACTTTGCAAGCCACTGTAAATAAAGTCAAACAGAAAGACACAGACATTCAAAATACACTTCAGAGTTATGCAGTGGAAGGTGAACTTCTGTTGACCCAAACTTCCTGACAGTATTGAATTGAAAACATCAAACTCATTTCTTGCCCTAAATTTTGGATTGAACTTTAGCTGTCCTACTATAACATTTTCTTTTAAATAAAGATTTTTTTTTTTTTTTTGCTTTGTTGCCACAACATGATTTTCCATTCGTTCAAGACAGAAAATGTTTTCTTGCAGACAGACACTTTTTCTGTCTCCACACATTTGAACTTCAAAGTGTATTAGTTCTCACCTACAAGAAGTGAAGTTACAGCTTTCAAACACAAGCATGCTGCTTGCAAAGTCAGCACGGGTGTAGGTCTGGAAGAAGACAGCGTCTTGCGGAGGCTTGTGTTGCCTCCAAACAGCTGTGGTTGCCTCCTTTGTGTTATTTGGAGGGCCTGTTGCCCCCTTCCCTATTCACGGCTTTCAAACCAGTCTCACTCACTTCTCACTCCCTGGGTTCCTCCTCACAGGTCATAAATTAAGCCGAGGGAGGGGAGGCTAGAGATCAGAAGGGGAGAAAAGGGGAAAAAAAGATCAGTCAGGGCCTTATTTCATTTACACAGTTAAACATATGAAAAAATACTGTTTCCAAGAGTTTCCCTGAGCAACTTGTGAGAGACATTTGTAGATTGGTAATTTAGCCGGAGCGATTAGGCTCATCTCGTTGCTGTTGACAATATATGTTATTTTAATGACCACAATTCGTGGCTAAGAGCTTCTGTGATGCTGTGCATATGTTGGTGCGCAAGAAGAAGGGTGGGTTGTGGAGTCGCAATATGGTTATGGTGACAACCAAACAGCCTCTCCTGTCAAAACAAAGCCTGCTTGTGGTGAATTAAAGCCAGAAGCAGCACAGTTCCAACCTTTTTGTTGCCATGGACTTGAGCTCAGATGGACCAAATTCTTATTTTCGCTTCCTATTTTTGGGGGCTAAAGAAGCATAATAGACACATTGTATTCAGTACGGTTGGCAGAACATACTGTGACAATGACTTAATGACATGAATAGGAGAAATATTGCACAGTTCAGCGGCTCACTTCACGTGCCATTATCCCCTTTTGTGATACGGAGAGATCAAAATTATGAAATATCATGCGGCACATGTGGGATCTATTCAGCGATGTCACAAAAAACTCCCATTGCAAAAAAAAAAAAAAGGAAAAAAGAAAAAAAGAGAAAAGCGTTAAATGGCTTTGCATGGCTGTGTACGGAACCATATGGACACCTCCACATCTCCTCATTTCATACATGTTTCTTTTGACATCAATAATGCCTTGGTATCCAGTGGCGTCTGGAACGCATCCAAAACAATTATAAAGTTGCCTTGGAAACTGAGGTCCTGTGCCAGGGCGAGGCATACTGTCTGCGCTCAGATAACCACATGGAAAGTCAGAGCAAACAAAGCACTTGACAGGGGTGCAGAAATGAGAGAAATGAAGAGACAGAGGGAGGCGAGGGATGGGCAGAGGTGGAGAGACAAAGACGGAACAAAAGCCGGGTTTTTTTTTTGGAGGGGAATAAAAAAATATAAATGATTAATTGGAATATTTTTAAACTAGGGTGTGAATACTTCAAGAAAACCTCTGTCAGTCACCAAAATTCTCTAAGAAAAAAAAAAAAAAATTATATCTACACTGAAGATCAAAATTGTTTCAAGGTTAAGCTGCACCTTCAGTGACACACTCAATTTTCCATGTACAACATAGGGGCTAGATGCACTGTAACCTTATATGCTAACCTAATGAACAAGAGGATGAAAGTGGTGTAATGGGGGTATTTTTACATTCATCTTTAGGCTCCTCATTATACGGCCAATCTGACAACCTCGTTAGGAGTGCACGAAAGATTACCCAAGCGTATAAAGAGCAGTACCTTTACACAAAAAAAAATAAGAGCAGAGAAGAAGAAAAGGAATCTTAGAATAGGTAGGAATGTCAAGCGCAAAGCATCTATGATTGGTACACACATGCATATTATCCAAAGGCTTTACCCCAGTGGGAGTAAGTGGGCTGTGGGAGTCAGTAAGTCAATCTGACTGGCTTTCAAAGACCCCTGACTGTCCAGTCTGTTTATTCAGATGAGAGCGACTATTTCACAGTCACTGCATCACTTTGTTTTGATCACACTGATGAAGAACATGTGTTTTGCTTCTCTGTGAGCAGTTGATATGATAAAGAAACATGTCCGTTTGGGTCCCAATACATTAAACATTTTTATTTCACAGTTTTAAAACACCGAAGTTGTCTATTGCTTTACCCACACAAGGTCACTATAAGCGATGGCCATAAAACCAATCAATTAAAACGCATTTTTAGGCATTTGCACCTGAAGTGTCAGCAGATCTGCGTGCGAGTCATCATTTGTTCTCATTAGCGTTGCTTGAAAAAAATCAGTAGCCCTTGAGAAAATCAGGTAATTTGTATTCGCAAATAAGGATACTCGACCCAACAATGGCACACAATTTATTAAGCGGCAGCAAGTGCATTTGTGTGCATCTGTGTGCGCTCAGTAGGGTTGAGTGCAGCCCTTTGCAACTAAAGGGGTAACTCCGGCTTTTGGCCAACGTTACCCTGTGCCTCTAGCTCAACACTGCACTCTAGTGGATGCAAAGTGTCACAGCGCAAATTTAGAGTTTTTTTGTGTTTGTGCTTTGGTATTATTTTTCAGGAAAAACAAGGTTTTGTGCAGAATATTCTATTATTCAGCTCTCCTACTCTAGGACAATCTAACAACTTTCTTAATTTATGCTTTTAATAATTAATATACAACATTGTAAGCTTGAAATTTATTCTCAGTCCACTTTACAAGCTAAGAACATATGAGCTTTAAATGCAATACCATACAGTATTGCACTTAAAGAACATTTGTAAATGCAATGCCACTGCGGAAAATTGTGATGACAATTTTGATTACGATCACCATTTTCCAAATGCTTCTATTTTTTTTTACCATTACACCATGTCCTCTCAGCTCTCTGTGACCTGTAGCATCTCATCATCCACAACATACGCACATCAGGTGTGAGCAATAAAGGCTGTTAGAATCCTTTCAGCTGGCCAAATATTTCATCAACATGCAGAGCACGAGTGCTTAAAACTGTGAATAATGTAGCCAACCCAATATTACATCCAAACGGTATTTTGGGATATAGAATATTGTTGATATGTGTTACAGGTCTCAAGTGCCAGGACTGCTATAACAGCAAATTGCACAGTCTGAAGAATAATAAAATAAGATTCAGTAATGATGACCGAACTGCTGATTTTCAGATTGTGTCCGTTTCATTTGTTAACCAACAACCTTTTTACAGTGTACAATATCAATAAGTTACATTACCTTTGTTTTCTAAGCCTAATTTACTTTTCTGACTACTAACAAGTAATGTCATACATGACCTTTTTCACATTACAATTCCATCACTTGGATGAGAACAACCAAGATATATTGTATTAGACAGGATAAAGCAACTGTTCTTAGTTTTACTGCATTTAGATGCATATTAGCTGGCATGGATATCAAAATGCACACTGATTTTAACTTAATGATCAAAAGCAGAGTAACATGATTACAAAAAAACACCAACATGGCATTGTGTCAATTTTAACTTCTGAATTCCCGAACTTCATGAACAAAGAATAGTTTCTCTACCTTTAACTTTAATTGGGCTCACTTTACTCATGATCTGAACTACTTTATGAGTCAACAAGCAACATGCACTGAATATTATTCAAACAAACCTAGGAAAAAACTCCTAAAAACAGGAGTAAGGTCTTCACGTAACCCCACGGGACATCCCCAGCACGGGTTGGCATCCTGCCGATCTAAACGTCTGCTGAAAAAACTTACAACTACTAGCAGAACGGTGCACAGGAACTGCAACGCAGTGTTATTTCCTTATAAAAAAATAAGAAGTAAACTCGTACAGAGTAGTTTTGGTGTGTTTTCACTGTACTAACATGAAGAATAATGAAATAAAATTCAACAATCACAACTGAAGTACTACTTTTAGCATTCACATTTGCGTCTGAGGCTAACAGGAAGTCCGCCCCAAAACCAACCCGGAAGTAACGCCCCCTAAACAAAGGTTCCGCTTCAACACTATTGCTCCCATCTCAACCTTAGGACAATAATTTCAGACATAATATCACGTCAAAAAGCAAATAAAATCTAATTTATTTTGAAAAAAAAAGATAGAATACATGAAAATATTTCAAAAATTATAAAACAAAAATAATGTGGTGACATTTTTAAGAGACATTTTAAGTGCACCATACATGCTGTCATTATTGTGCAGCTATTATGAATCATCTGGAAACCCTCAGGTCATCAGAGACCTCTCCACCAAAAGTTGACCAGAGCTGAACTCTATTATTCCCTCTATTATTGAAATGTTTATTCATTTCAATTTTAGTCTCATCATATTCTGCACAGTTGTCTGTTTACTATTGTCAAGCTTATTTAATTATCTGGAGTTGGGATTTTTTGATATGTTGGTCTTTGGACTGCCAGTACTCATCAGTCAATTCTGACTGATGAGTACTGGCAGTCCAAATGGAATGTGGCTATGGACGCAGAGGCAAAAACTGAGGTGTAGGAGGAGTTCGGAGAGACCATGCAGAACCACTTCCATACAACTTTGAGGCGTGTGTGGTCCACCATCCGGTGTCTCAGGCGTCAGAAGTGGTGTGTCACCAGCACAGTTTATGGTGGGGATAGTATGCTGCTGATATTGACTCAAGACTTTGCAGAGTACTTCGAAGACCTCCTCATTCATACTGTCTTTTCCAGTGAGAAATGATAATAGATGGATGTTGGGTCTAGATGTGATCCTCCTATTTAAAAAGGAGGATCACACTCCCAAGCCACCCTGGTAAGGTCTATTCAGGGGTTCTGGAGAGGAGGGTCAAATCTTGGATTCAGGAAGATCATTGTGGTTTTAATTCTGTTTGTGGAAAACTGGCTCAACTCTACACCCTCAGCAGAGCGCTGGGCGGTGCATGGAGTTTGCGCAAGCATTTTGTATTGCCTTGTTGCTACAAATGTGTTATATAAATAAAATTACCTTTACCTTTACCTCTACCAGCCTACATATGTTTTGTGGACCTCGAGAAGACATTCAGTCATGTCCCTTGGGGAATCCTGTGGTGGGTACTCTGGGAATGTGGGGTATCAGGCTCTTTCATATGGACTTTCAGTATCAGAGCTAGGTCTGCATTACCAGCAGTAAGTCAGATTCATTTACAGTAAGAGCTGGTCTCCGGCAAAGTTGCCCTTTGTCACCAATTTGGTTCATAACCTTTATGGACAGAATTTCTAGAAAAGGTCAAGGTGTAACCTTGTGATCGTGTTTCTGCTTTTGGCAGGTTATGCAATCCTGTCGCCATCATCAGGTTGTGATGAACTTAGAAATTTGGAGTAAGCAATGGAACACTCAGATATGGCAAAAACGCCTAATGCTAAATGTTTATCCCCCCAACCAGAAATCTGCTTCTAAATGTTTCACTTTGACAAATTTAATAAATGTTTAAAAAAACTGTCTTGTCTTACAAGTAGTAATCCATGCCGTTGTAACAAGTGGGCTGGTTTGTGCTGTAATTACTTGTACCTTGGATTTATTAAGTCATCTTTCTAATCCCTTCAGTTCATGTAAAATACTGCATTTTTTAAAAACTGGAACACAAAGAAGAGCGCATGTCCCTCCAATTTTATCCTCTCTGCAATGCGTGCCTGCCCATTTTAAAGTTCATTTTCAAATTTCTTTGTTTTAAAATCGTTAGATGATCTTGCCCCTCCCTGCCTCTCTGAGTACCACACTTTTTACTCTTATTAATTTTCTCACTCTCTCACTATGCTGATATTTAGTTGTGTTTATGTAAATTATAGTTATATTAGGAATCATAGATTTAAACTTTGACTCCAAGAGTGGCCAAATGATAAATATCTATTTTCTATTGTTGACTCAAACTTTATCTCCGAGTCGATAATAAGGAAGAAAAACAGATGAAACACTTGATAAATGTGTGTTGCTATTATTTAAGTATTTCCTGCATTAAAACTCCCAGCTTCGTGTGCTCTATTTATTTCAGCTCTAGTCGCTTCTGTTTGCTTCTGTTCGCTTAGATCTACTGTGCTATATTCCCATTGGCGCAGGAGAGTAGGAAGCGCTGTGACGTCGTCCAATCAGATTAGAGGTTTATTCCACAGCTTCGCTTCCATTCTGAGTGACCCGTTATTATTGGAAGTAGCACGTCAAAGATCGGTGAGTATTTATTTTTCTCGCGTTTTATTTCTCGGTTTTAATGTGGAGTTCCAAGTTGTGGGCGACACGCGTGGAAAAAGCAGCCTTACGGAAAGCTTTGCACGAGTGTTTCAATGAAGAGGTGGGCAGATGAGACGTCGGTGTGCGCTCGATTCTCTCTAACTGACGAGACGTGAGGAGTAAACATGCGTAACACGACCCGTTGCCGCGATCTCCATTGACGCAACCTCCATGGACACGGCTGGTGTGCCTATTGTTGGAGTTCACGTTTAAGTCTGTTGTTCGCGTGTAAACGAGAGCAAGTAAGAAGATTTCCCACGCTGCCGAGTTATATCTGGAAGCCTTTCACTTCCAGATATAACCAGAAATGTCTGTGTCGCCCACCATCACGTAGACCCCTGTAGCACTGAGCTTCCCCGGACGACACCGATGACTTGAGGGAAAACACACTTCCTCATTTTTTATTCTTTTATTTTTTAATATTTAAATATATTAACTTTTTATTTTTATTTTTTTTTAATGAAGCAAAGGCACTGTCTGAATTTCCTCAACTGCGATGGTTCAGCATTTGTTTATGACTGTGACCTAAATTATCACAAGATGGCGCCAGTTTGCTGTTTTAAACAGTTTCCTACACATCAACAGGTCTCCCAGCATTCTGGAAACATGGACATGTACGCTGTGCCCAGCCCAGGAATACCAGGGTGTCCACCAGGATTAGAGTACCTGACAACTGTAAGACCATGTTGCCCTACATTAAAGTTAAAGTGCACCTTGATATGCATTGAAAAAGTAAAAAGTATGTTCACAGTGCCTTGTGAAAGTATTCACCTCGTGGCATTTTTGTTTGTTTTTGTTACATTACAACTTGTATTTAAATGTCTTTATTTAATCTAGTTTCTTGATAATACATCTGCACAAAATATTCTAAGTCGGTGAAGTGAAATAAAAAAAAATCTCTATGTCATAATAATAACTTAAAATATGCATGTCCGGACCCCTTTTGCTATGGAGCCTCTAAAAAGGTTCTGGTGCAACCAATGACCTTCAGCAGTTGCATGCTTGGTGAAATAAAATACACCTGTGTGCCACATGATCTGTCACCATGCACTTTTTGTAACTCTTCATGCATTGTCTCCTTTGTCCAAGCCTTGCGAATCCTGTCACATAATGTCTAACCCCCCTCCACCCCAACAAAATCCCTTCTTTGTTTCTATTTTTATTTGGTTGCATTAAAAAAAAAGAAATGCTTATATGTGGTTTTCCAGGTGGATCAGCTCCTCATCAAACAGAAGGTTGAGGTTGTTGAAGGTACAGTATATAGTATGAGTATTTTCCTTTTTCTTTTTTTTTGCTGCAACAACAGCTGATGTCGTATGCTTCGACTCACACAGCCCTAGTTGGTTTTGAAAGCAATAACAAGTATGAGGTGCGGAACGTCATGGGTCAGAATGTGTTCTACGCCGTCGAGGAGAACGACTGTCTGAGCCGGCAGTGCTGCGGCCCCCTGCGGCCCTTTAACATCCATGTCCTCGACAACTTTGGCCAGGAGATCATCAGCATCACCAGGCCGCTGAAGTGTATGTCTTGCTTCTTCCCGTGCTGTTTACAAGAAGTGAGTTCAATCGCCTGGTCACGAATTGCATCGTAGAAATCAAATGGGAGCATTCAGAAGTTCTTTACACTGCCTTTCAGAAGTATTCAGCCCCATATTTTACACTTGGCATGTTACTTTCACTGTTACATTAATTTTATTATGACTTTATGTGGCAGACCCATAGAAAGTAGCAGGCTAGTGTGGAGTAGAAGAAAAAATTATTCATGCTTTAAAAAAAAATAAAATAAGATGATGAAAGGTTCATGAGACACCTTACTTCTATGTCCCTAAATAAAATGCCACTCAAACCTACCAAGGTTTGTTTGTCCGGTTCAACGCACAGGTTGAGCATGGAGAGCTTCAAAACAGGGAAAGAGGCCAGTGGTAGCTGCAGAGAGCCACAACTCAGATCCAAAAATCTGTTGATATGATAAATCATCATTTTCCACCTGTACAAATTTGGCCTTTTTTTTTGACAAGTGACAAAAAGTACAATTCTGAAAGTAAAGCCAGCAAAATCTTCTCAAAAGAAGATTAAACATGTGGAAGTAGGTGCTTAGGTCAGATGAGGCCAAAAACAAACATTCTGACCTTGCAAAACTCTATGTGTGGCAAAATATCTATAGCCAGGCAACATCCTAATCTCACCATTCCAGGGTAAAGCAGTGGTGGCAGCATTGTGGTGTGGGGATGTTGTTCTTCAGCAGAAAGTGGCTGTGAAAGACTTGAGACTCAGGAGTAAGTTTATCTTCAAGCAGGACGATAACCTAGAGAACTCTTAAATAAAATTCCAGTCAAATAGGTTTACTTTTGTGGCACCATGTCAAAACGTATGCCTGGCACAATATTTGTTCTTTGTATTTTGCATGTATTTTGAAAGCTTGGTAGTTTAGGGTGTAAAAACCAGTCACGTTTTTCTTCCTCTTCCAGCTGGAGGTGCAGGCTCCACCCGGTAACACGGTTGGCTACGTGATACAGCAGTGGCATCCGTTGTCTCCTAAATTTATTGTAGCAAATGAACACAATGAACCGGTACTGAAGATCCATGGGCCCTTCTGTGGCTGGAGCTGCCTTCCCGATGTTGACTTCGAGGTGGGGCTCTTTATTTAAATGACTTGAATCAGTCCTAACAGTCTAACAGCTTTTCCCTTTAACAAGTGTCAGGGAGTTTCCAGTGACGAACAGGACACACTGACATTTTGGTCACAATCTGGCCTTTGTTCCGTGGTTCGCATAGTTTTATTAGACTGAGCCGTGAAGGGGGGTTCGGGGTCAGTGATGTAGGCGTTTTACAAGACCCTGTGGATGGGAAAACGAAACATGTTTTACGGCCATGATTTCTCTCTCGGGTCTTTGAAGACTTTACAGAAATAAAGAAATTCCTTTGGTCATAAGTAATAATATACATGAATATAAACTGCTCACTGATACGTATCCTTATTCAACACACTTATTTTCTATATCCTGGATGCTTTTTTTTTTTTTTTCCCCCCCACAGATTTTGACAATGGACGAAGTCAGCAAGATCGGAAAAATCAGCAAGCAGTGGACAGGACTGCTACGGGAGGCATTCACAGACGCCGACAACTTCGGCATTCAGTTTCCCATGGATCTGGACGTGAGGATGAAAGCTGTAATGATCGGCGCATGTTTTCTCATTGTAAGTGCAGCATAAAAAAAAAACATTTCTCTTATACATATACTTATAGCAGTAAATCAGCCTGAAATGTGATGATGACCTGTAATGTCAGGATCTTGTAAAGGATGCAGTTTGGGGGATTCTCACGTTGTAATTTGAAAGCAAGTGTCTGTATAAGTGCGGCTGCCGCAGACGCCATGGCCTCACTTGACCCTGCTCTCATCGGGAAAGTTTCTTGTTGCTGGTAGTCGGGATCTTCATGGAGCTTCTAATTAGATTACCACTGAGGCTACATTTAGTATTATTTATGACCTAAAATGAAACCCAGTCCAAGACTCTTTGAGCTACAGTTTGGATGAAACGTTTACATGGACCTACAAAGGCCAGGAATGCCATTTTAATTTGGGGGTTTCGATGATTTATTTGATTATTTTTCTTACACAGGGTTGAATTTAGAGATTTTTTTTTTTTCTTCCCCACACAGGGTCAATTGTTTACATACGCCCAATTAAGTATTTAAGTAAATATCCTGAGGCAAGTTGACCACAGGCATTCTGTAGTCTTCAGCAAGCTGCTAGCATGATTCTGGCTTTAAAAAAAAAAAGTGATCTTGTGATTTTGGTTGTCCAAAGGTGTAGCGAGGCAGAATCGGAGGAGAACTTTGGCTAGTTTTCTAACATGGACTTGACTGCTGAGGGTAGTTTGCAGACTTCCAGTAGGGCTTGGCTTTCCAAAAAGCTCACTATTGTCCTATTTTATCCACTCTAAAGCCAGATTTGGTGTGTGCTTCAATTCATATAGAGGGGGTTGGAGATGAAGTCCTTCTTTCCTCATAATTCCTTCTATTTTGTGCCAGCGCTAATTGCAGCAAAAAGAACCCAACAGCATAATGCCACCAACATTCTGACTGACGGTTGAAACAATGTCTTTTGGTTGGAAAATCTCACCTTCACTCTTCCAAACATATATCTTGTCCCAAAAATTAAATTATTGTCTCGTCTATCCATAAAAATAAGGCATTGGTCTTTCCCTTTTGGCACCTGCAAAGTTCAGATGAGCTTGAAGGTGTTGTTCATTCTAGGCCTTTAGCCTTTCAATACATGGTCTCGTAAAAGTCTCGTTTAATGTTTTTAGTTTTACATAAAATCAGAATCTAGAGTTAAACTTTGGACACAGTCTGGTATCACTATCCACAAACTCGCATCAAAATTGGCTTTTGAATAATAGATAAAGCTGGTTACTATTAATCTTTGAGTGACGTCCCCACACCCTTCACTGCAACTGTGTTTTGTGGACCAGACTTAAAAGTTGAGTCAGTACCTGGATCAAAATAATAATAACGAGCTGCACGTACAATACAATAAAGGTAAAATGTGATTTATTGTCTAGCTGTCGATTTCCATTCAGTAAATGTATTCCAAGCCCTTTCATGATGCATTTCCACCCAATAAGTGTCACATGAATACCAGTTTTAGTTTTGGCTTCATCATTAACACTTTCTTCTTGTTCACGTTAACAACAGGATTTCATGTTTTTTGAGACTACCAACTGAGACTAGGAGCCAAGCAGGATTTCTACATCGCAATCCTAGTGGAACAAGGCCATGAAGCCATGATGATCAGTGCCAAAATGCAGATCGATCAAACAACCTTCAATAAATAGAGTACTAAAATGAGCCCAAAAGTTCTAACATTGCATGAACAATGAAATGTAGAAGGTTTGTTTTTTGCTTCAGCTGCTCAGGTCCGTTTGTCATGTTCCTGTGGCTGTGTGGGTTCTGTTACTATTTCATTTTTATTTTTTTTTATTTTTTTGAATAGCAGTGATTGTATGGGTGTTTCTGTGTTTATTTATAGGGTGTATTTACATGATGGTTACTGATTACATATTGGGCCCAAGAGTTTTAATAACTGCTATGAAAGATTTTTATTATTTTTTTTTTCACAGTAAGAAGACACTGGTGTAAGATTTAGAAAAGGAAAAACAGCCATGTTCTGTTATACACTTTGAAAAAAAGTATGCTAATAGAATTTTGTCCATTCAGATATTTAACACACACGTTGCCGATTTTGTAGGTATGTTAGGTGGTGTGATAAACAATTCATGTAATGTAGAAGTTTGGAATTGTGAAAAGCAAAACAAGCTTTGAGTGTGTGTTAAGTGATGCATATACTGTAACGTTTTAAGGTTGTGCAGCATCTATAATTTTATTTACACAGTGGATATATATATATATATTTTTTTTTAGGGAGGAACTGTAGCTTCTTATGACATGTCAGCAGTGACCAGGAGAGGGAGCTAGATAATTGCTTAGTATCGGTTCATTTTTTCCAAATGAACAATTTCAAAACTCAATCGAAGTTGGTTATCTATTTATTATTATTTTTTCAATACTAGTCTGTATTTTCGGACAAACTCAGGTTGAAATGCATGCTGCTGCACTGTAGTTCTGATCACTGCTGATTTTGGAAATTACACACTTGCATTTAATTCTACATATATCAAGATGATTTATTTATTTACTTATTTTTGTTCCCATCCTGTGGAGCATGCATGGCATGGTCTGTGTATCCATGTTCTTGCAGTTCCATCGTGATAGTTTTGCAGTTTAAATATTAGAAATCATACAAAACCAATAGGTTCTATTAAAGCCACTGGCAGCTACTTGCTCTTTGATCATGTCGAAATGTAACAAGAAAGACATGGATTATGTTCTTAATAATGCCAGTATTTTTATAGTGCTGTTAAGACATTTTATAATTTTTTTTGTTTTGTTTTGTTTAGGCATTTTTTTTACAACCCCCATCAATTTGCAAACTTTGAAAAAAAGACCCATCTTAAGCCATTTTATCTCATATTTAAGTCCTGAAATTCTATAGACTTTTATTTTTGTAAAGAATACTGCCAGTTAGAGAAATTGATTATACCCGTGCAAACCTAAGATGTCCTCTGTCAACAGTGTTTTACTCTGCCTTCAGTGAGCCGACACTTACTTGTAGAATTACCATAAGTGGATTTAATTCACCAGATCTATTTCCATTATCAAATTGGAGACTTTATGACTAGTTCTTGAGTTGGTTGTCTTTTTCTAATTTAATGGCATGCAGATTGCCAAGGTAAACCTGGTAAAATGTCATTTCCGCTGACCCGATCATTTTACAGCGCAGTACAAGTTTGGGATGCATTTTGTTGGTGCATAACCTTCGATTTGGGACAGAATGTGATGCAGTGTAACTGTTAAACAGATGAAGCCTGTATTCTACTTTTGCACTAATACTGTGAATTAATAAAATGTTTAGTCCTTGCAATGTATTAAAACTGAGCTTGGCTTAAATTGTGCAAATAGTCTGTAAAACCACCTCAATAAAATTTGCAAAATTGTTCAATTGCAACTTGTTCAATTTTACAGTTTTTACTTAATTGAAGACTTTCTGGAAGCTGTCTAAGCAACTGTATTTCCAGTCTCAAAAATATACAAACACCCTCTCTGATAAATGGTTTGGTGGCCCTCAGTACGCATCTCCCTTAATTTCCTATTTTGAGCTGTAAACGCAAGGAAGAATGGGAAAATAACATCTGTCTCTGTTTATTTCTTTCTGAAAGGGTCTAGCCACATATCTAACCACAACCAGAAACTCCCCTCACCCCCAGATAGAAAACATCTCCGATTCACTGCTGGAAAACATTCATTTCTTGATTAAACTGAACACTGTACTGCAAAATGAGATGTTGAGTAATAGTCAACATTTGGTGTGAATTAGATTCAGCGACCACATCTATGTATATAGATGTCAATAACACAGTGATTTGCTGCTCGAGAGATCTCAATCTGTGGGAAATAAATGAGCTGGTGCTCAAGTGAGGAGATGTCAAGTGGAACCCCCTGTTTTGACCAAAACTTTAACATGTGTTCTTATGGACACATGTCAAAGCTTGGCTTCTCATAAACAGTAAAGTCTCTGTATGCTCTCTATATGGGAGTCAGGCAATTTAAACAAACAGCAGTTGAGACATTTTTGATTCGTTCTGTTTGAGTAGGATTTGCCAGATGGACCAGCCAGAGGCCATTTGTTCTTCCCTGTTTACACCCCTGACGGATTCCCATCGTATTGGGTGTTGACCATTTAGTTTTTAACCAAGCAGTCCCTGTTCATTAAACATATCTGGATTGGCTTGTTTTTAAGAATATGGACATTAAATATAATTTAAAATTCTCAGATTTTTTTTTTTTATTATTTTTTTTTCAATCAGGAGATTTCTTTTATGCAAACTGTGGTTCATAAACATATACAGATCTGAGCTAGTGGAGCCATTTCATCCTATGACAAGTCATAAAAAAAAAAAAAAAATAAATAATAGTTTCATAATTCCTGCAACTTAGTATGCACTGGGAGCTCTGTGGAATGCATTGTGCTCTGTAATGGGGTGACTGTACTGGTGTTCTCAAAGGCACTCACTGGAATTTGAGCTATTTGTGTTTCAAACATACTGGGACAAACACATGGCTGAATCCACATCTGTACAAGCACAGCCTAAGAAAACAACAAAAGACACAATCTGTAATTGTCACAATTATTTACTTTACTCTAGAATAAGAAAGACAAATCAAGAACAAAAGAGGAGCTAAAGTTAAGCTCTTCATAAGTCTAAGAGAGTTGCACTATTTCGACCATGTTTGACCATGCCCACAGTCAAAACATGGTCATGACAGCATTATGATGTGGGACGATGGCTGCAAAGCTACAGACTAGTAATTAGCGAGCCAGTTTAAAAGCCATGTGGATTTTTGACAGGTTTAAAAAAAAAGTCATATTTCAGTAAAACTTGGTTCATAAATTAAAGTGGCCTCAAGGACACATGATGTATACAGTCCAGATTAGTTTCAGAGGTGGAGCTAAAAATTCGAAAAAGCCAAAAAAAAAAAAAAAAAAAAAAAAAGGTGGAAACATCTAAGAGTAAAACAGTTGATAGTTGCTTCCCTGCCTATCCAAACACTAAAACCAAAAATGGAAAAAACAGAATTAATCGCAACTCCTAACTCATCCAACGCCACAATCCAATAAAACATACATTCAAAAGCATTTCTTCAAGTGTGGCAGGATGCCTGTTGATGGAAGCAGAGGATGGGACTTAGGTCCTGCCTCTGGGTTTTTATGTCCAAGGCAGCCAGTCAACCGTGAAGAGAGCGCTCCATAATCACTATGGAGAGCTCAATCATAAAACACACACAAGGCATAAAACACCAAAAACAAATCAACTTAAAAATCTCTAAAAACACACTAGTGCTTCAAGTTTAAGTCCCAGCTGAAGAAAATAAAAAAAATATCCAGGGAAGAAAAACTGTCAAAGAAAAAAAACCCACAATGAATAATGTAGAATTATCTTCAAATTTATGAAAATTAACATTCAGAAGAAAATTTAATAGCGTGCAGAAAGTTCTGATGAAAGTACCGGTTGTCTCTCAAGATTAAACGGAAAGAAGGCAAACAGTCTTGCAGGAATTTACGATTACACACAATAACTCAAATGTAGCAGCACTTATCGCAACCAAATCTTGACAGGGTGATTAGTCCTCATTCCAACTGATTGTGCAAGTTTTCTTGTGGTTCAAGTTTTCTTGTGGTTCTGGTGTTTGTTTTTTTTTTCTTTTTCTTGTCAGAGCCTGAGTCTCAGAAGTCCTACGCAAATGGAATATCTGGGAGACGATGATCACAACTGATCAGCTAATCAGTGGTGAAATTTGGAAAATGTTTGGCCACGTCACTTTACAAAGTGTGTTAAAAAAAATAGAGATTATAACCTAAAATTTTTCTTACCACATTATTTGAACTCAGTGACATGGAAATAAATTAATGCAAGCAAATTTCGCCTGTTCACAATCCCTCTCTTGCTGTCTAAAGCCATCTCCCACATCTAAATTATGAACATAATCTTTCCGTTCAGTAAAGCGATAAACATAGATCACACAATCTGATACATAATAAAAATTTAAAGTTAGCACTCAATATAAAGGAATTCTATATAATTTTAAATGCTCTTCTATCACTTTTTAAATAATAAAAGAAAAAAAACATTCATATATGAAGGAAGCCTAGACAACATCTACACAGACAACTTTTGAAACTTTTGAAAGCTTAAGTTCCTGGATGCATTTTGACCAATTCTTTACTCGTGGCAAACTCTAAAAGAATGTGAAAGATCTGATCCGCTGTGTTTCTGTGCTCTATACTGCTGTGTTCTACTTTTGTAGCTTTGTTATTGTGCTCTAGCCAAAAGTATTTTTTTAATCACATTTCTCTTTATATAAAAAAACACATTGTCATCTTGTTCTGTTTGTGTAAAGTTATTGCTTAATTAACCTTCTCTATCGTTTGAGGGCTGTGGCAGCCTGGCAGGTCCCGTGATTCCTGGGCAACTACTATTACCCTTAATTTGCAATAAACAGCCCTGTGATCACTTCTTATAACCCTAATTCAATAATTAGGGTTATAAGCTTATAACCATGATTCAATTTACTTTTAAGCTTTAAAACTGGTAGATTGCCTACATTGAACATGATGCTGAGTCCTTAGTTTTTATTAAACAGGAGTTTTTCTTTACTACAGTAACACAAGTAACCATGTTATGAATATGCCTGGTCGAGGTGCGGTAAGAACATTTCAGATCCTATTT